AGCTTCTTCCTAAATATGAATCAAGATAATGAAATTCACTTCCAACTGACCTAGAGTGCATTAAAAAAAAAAAAAAAAAAAAAAAAAAAAATCTGGTATCTTCACAACACAAGATTAAACATACATTTTCCAGAACTGCTTTATACCTGCTGTTTCAGATCCTGCTGACATGGTGAATCGTATGCGGTTGTGTGTGTTCCACTAACTTATCCTGGCTTCCTCTGCTTCATGCTCACGGCTGGCAGATGTTTACATGGGAGACACCTCAGAAAGCAGGGCTTGTAGGGCGTATATTTGTATTAAAGCCTAAGGGATGCCTGGAGATTATGTCTCTGTAAGATCAGGATGTTTCTGTCTCCATCTCAGACATAAACATCACCTTAAATCATAAGCACAGGAGTTGGTGATGCGCTGCAAGCTCCAGCCCTCTCAAGTGCTAAAAAAAAAAAAAAAAAAAAAAAAGTTAAAAAGTTTTCTTTATGACCTTATTTGTTTATTGTCTTGCAGAGGGGGCAGAGAGAGGAGAAGGTTACCCAACACAGGGAACACGGTGAAGAGCCAGGGTTTGGGGTAAGGATTGGTGTGTGCTGCCCAAGGACAAGCAGCCAGTTCCCTGGCACTAGAGCAACAGAGCCAGGGAGCAAGGCTTGCTGGATGTGGTTTCTGGTCACTGACTGGGAGCTGGCTGCTAGTGAGTCAGCTGGTTTTACCTAACCTGGAATGGACAACTTCCAACACAATGGAGTTGAAATGGAAATAGAGAAGGAGGATTTCCAAGAAGATCCCTGATAGAGAAAAGGGCGCTTAAGGAAACTTGCTTGTGCCTTTTCTGCTATGTGCTGTATACTTTCTTTTTTATTTGTTATTCAAGGCTTAAATAACTCATTGTGTACTTTATAGGGCAAATTTATAAGCTTATCTAATATTTCCCATTCTCAGACCCTCATCTACAGTTGTTTGCCTAATATTTGGGAAGGAGAAGGTCCCTATTTGGTTAAGATGCGGTCAGGCTCAGGGGAAGAAAAAGCAGAAATAAAGAGCTGCCGCTGCCTCTGCACACAGCACAGGAAGCACACTGGTGAGAAGGATGTGAAGATACTGGGCAGAAGGGCCTCAAAAACGACCCAGCACTGAAAAACAAATCTTACAATAGATTTATCAAGGAGAAGACTGAAGAGGTAACGTGTTCACCTGGGGAAGGACCACGCGTGGTGCAGGTCCATATGAAGAGTCTCTCTCTAAGGCAGCTGACTGCTGAGGCTTTTTCTGATGCCTGGCATCAGGCAGACCATCTGTGATCAGAGAGGAGTACCCTCAGGTGATGCAGGGGAGAAGGTATTTGCAAAGTGAGTGTAAAGAGAAGTTCATTAAAACATCTGAAGCATTCAAACAAATACTGTAAGAGAGAAAGCCCCACGAGAAAAGGAATTATTTTGTCTTCAGAGCAAGTCTCAAATGGCATTTAGTATAGAAGACCTGGGGCTGAATACTGGAAAATGGTGGAAAAGAGAAGGGAACAGGACTTTAACACACATTCATAAGCAAAGGGGAAAACATCCAACAGTATGTGTGCAGTGCTGGTGAACTGATGTTAGGCACACAATATTCATGCTGGAATAGATTAGCTTTAATTAGAACTCCTAAAATTAATTTCAAATTGTCCCTGATTTAAAGACAGGATTTTTTAATGTATAGCATCCTAAAGATACAAATACACACACAGATGTGTGCTCACAATGTCAGGTACGGTTTCATGAACAGATGGGCACATAAACACTTCCAAACACATCCTGCCCGGTTCAGCCTCAGATGGGATGGATGGGTCTCCAGCTCCTGGCGTTTCAGCGGGGAGCACTGGTGTGCACAGGAGGAACACATCTCAAAGCTGACCCCATGGCTGGCGATGCCACTGTGAAACCCGCCCAAGGAAGAAAAGGCAAGCCAAAATTCATCCTCTTTCCAGAGCCATCAACCCTCTGAGAGATCTCTCCCCTTTTCCTCTGCCGCCTTCATTCACCGGGGGGTTTCCCCCGTTTCTCTTCGTGCTCAGTGGAGAAGCAAAGGCAGGAGCCAGGGCAGAAGGCGGCACAGGGCGGCATGGTGCTCGCTGAGAGGGTCCTCTGACCGCAGGAGCCCAGGACCACAGCCCAGGGGGCAAAGCACAGCAATCTGAAGTCAAGCTCAAAGCCTCCAAGTGTTCCTAGAGCTCCAGAAACCACAGAGGAACCCCAAGAAGGTGTCACCTGCAGAGGGAAGATCACCAAGAGCAGACATCCCCCCCAAGGCACTTGCCTTCTCCCAGGAGATGAATTTCTCCTCGGTCCCAACACCTCCCTAAAGGTTACCAGAGGGCTGAAGAGCCAGCTTTCACCTCAGGAGGCATGGAGCTGCTGTTATGTCATTAATTTCTTGATCAACAAATGTGTAACTGCACAACATCTCCTCAAAACATACCATTTGCATTTCTAATAAATCTTTTAAATTATGTGGAGCATCACACACATTAATACTTACCTTTAAAAATACTCCCAGTGCAGACAGCGACCTGATTCAGCAGAATTTTAGTGGCTGTAGGCTTGAAGAGGAAATTATGAATTGAGGGCCTTACGCTACCCTCAGGACACCTTTACCAGTTTTTACGATTTCTTAAAAATGTTAATAAAAAGGCAGGCATGTGGAACTCTAACTGGAGAATAGCAGAGCCTGGTCACACTCAATAAAACTCAAAAAAAAAAAAAAATCGAATGGGTGCGGTGTGACTGAAGTAATGCACAGAGCCCTTCCTGCCAGTTCCTCCCCTCACATTCCTTCTGAAACCACAGAGACTAATTTAACGTCTCCCAACACACCACGAAGGTGGGTTGACCAATCTGCAACTAGAACGGGTATGTTTTGTGAATGAATTTGTTGTTATAGCTAGGTCTGGTTCTAAAGACAAAATACAGTTATAAGTCTTTTTACTAGTGGGTTGGTTTTTTTTCTCTTCCAAAGCCAAGCCCAGAAAAACTAAGTCTGACAAATGTTGAGACAAATTTACTAACCTCCGTTCCTCAGTAGTAGTATTTATACAACTAGAACTTCACTGCACAAGGCAATGCAGGAAAGAACAGCAAACACAGGAAGAGAGCACAGGAAAGGGAAATAATGGGCTGCCATTTTTTGCTGGAGACATTACATCATTTGCTTTGCAATATATCTGCATTTTACAGCCAGAATAATATCAGCCAGCTCCAAGATAAGGAACACGTTTATTTAGAGAATAAATCTAGCTCCGATTTCATCATAATGTCAATATTTGCCGTCTTAATATTACAGTGACTCTCGGTCGATACTCAGTAGTGAGCAATGTGTGCAAAGGGAACCAATCTTCTGAATGAGCTGGGTGTATAACCTGGGAACGGCCAGGCTCCGGAGGGTTCCTCCATTCCTGGGTGCAAGGAGATAGCAACAGGTCTTCAATGGGCAGAAATCAATTGACTCCCACCTTGTAGGGCTTTGGGGTTTTTTTGGAGGGCGGGTCAAGATTTTAATGCCAAACCTGACAACTAGGACAAACTATCAGGCTCCCATCACAAACTGCGGAGGGTCCAGCCCAGCCAGCGTAGGGCATTACGCAGAGCCTCCTCCCTGCCCTATGGCAAGATGCGGGCTGGTGGGACTCCAGGCTCTGGACACCAGCGTGTTGGGGCTGGGCTCCAGCTGGGTTGACTTGAGGAGTCACTGCTGAAGGGAGAGGGGCAGCAGGCAGTGAAGCTGCCATGTGGGCATTAGGGAACCCCTGGGGACATTGCATATGGAAAACACGGGTTTGGCCAGCCCTGAAATCCTGAACCCCTCAACTAGATAATGGGGTTATACTTCATTAAATCCAGGCAGAAGGTGGAGAGGGACTTCCTTAAAGGTAACCCTGAGAAATACAAGTTTCTAGAGGCCCAAGGAGCAATTTGACAGTTGCTACTCTGCTAAACCCACAATGAACAGATTACTTCATCCTGGGCTGCTGGCTGTACGTTTTCTGTGCATTTGTTGCCGTGCATGCTGCCAAGGGAAGCTTGACCCACGTGTTTCTGCAGGACACACGGTTATGAACACATGAAGCAGCCAGCAGTGTCCACTCCCCTCGCCCCACTCGTGCTCTGTGGGTTTGTCCTGTTGTCTCTGCTGCCCCTGACACACACATAAATGACTCGGAGAATTCCGAACTCATTCTTCAGCAGCAGCTCTCCCCACAGCCCTGGGTGAGGTGGATTAAGCGTGTCCTCTGACGCTGCATTTACCATTGCCTGGTGATGACTTTGTGATTGATGACCCACCCATCTGCTCCAAGGGAGTAACCTCCCCTTTGTGAGCCCTCGGTTTGCATCTCCATTGTTCCCCAGCCTGGAGCTTGCCGTCTGTGCCTCCTGTGTTCCTCCACACACAGCTCTCTGCATAAACTTGCCCTCCTCATGCTCATAAAGTGGACCTCCTTGATAGCTGTGGTGTTCAAAGCTACTGCTCACCAGATTATTGACTCTGTCCTTCAGCTCTTGGTGTTTTGCAGGAACCCGAAGCTATAAGCTTGACTAGCTGGTTTAGGCTACCGTTCCCTTATCTGTTCTGCCAGATGTGTCACATGTGGTCCAGTGTGGCAATCCCCAGGCTGTGCAGTGAGCTCAGGACACGCAGAGCAGGTCCCCAGACCACCATCTTCAGCAACGTACGGAACAAATAGAACCGTCATAATTCACAGGAGAACAAAGGCTGATCATTTTCCACCTGAATTTAATATTTTTTTCAAAGTTCCATGATTCACCAAATAGCAAATAATCCAGATGATTCTGTTTATTGTTATACCAGTTCATTTTTCTTATTCCAAAATTGTCCTTCATTTCAGTAAGGTTCCCAGTAATGCAAACGTCATTCAGCTTTATTCAGATAAACCATGTTAAGTGCAAAGGTTTGGCAGAGGAGTGTTCCCTTCTGCCCAAAAGTTAATTCTGAATTCGTATAGTACTCTGTGTGAACAAACAAAAATTTTATCTTTATAGGATGCACCTCCCCTCTACAGAAAAGACGGTTATTGACAGCACAAGAGATGATACGGAATAAAATGCAATCTAACATTCAAAACGAGTAATTCTACATATTAACATTCATAGTAAGCTTAAAATCAGTACTGTTTGGATCACAGACCACTACTGAATCCTATGGCAAAAAACCTACATAAGCAAAGATAATTACCATTTAAAAATAGTTAACAGTGTAAATTGGAAGATTTAACATGTTTTCTTCTTTTAATGTACAGCCCCATTCCCAGAATTTCACCGGCCATGCGGACAGACCAACGGCCACAGCTGTCTGTCAAGGCTGAATTAGATGAAGACAGACAATGCAGGCTTTGTGGTGCAACTGAAGCAGCAGCCTCAAAAGTTTCCATCTCTCATCCGAGGGCACTGTGGGAGCATTGTCTTCCCCCTCTCTGAAAAGAGAATGGAACAATTATGTTACTGAAATTCCTCTGCAGTGGGTCTGAAAGACTGTTTATGTCCAGCCAGGGAGACAGGGAAAACCAAAAGCAAGGATTTCAGGACAGCAGGTGGGGGCAGTTTCAGGGTATATCCTTCTAGTGACATAATGGTCCTGATTCTTCTCTTCTAGGGTAAAGCCAGTGTTGGAAGATTTACTGGCAATGGAGGAAATAGCAATAAAAATGCAAAGTTAAACTTAGTGGTAGAATTATTAACTTGAAACAAAGCTTTACAATTAGCTTTCCGAATCAATCAAGTAACTCATTCCAATGGGGAGAGCATGGCGGTAAACGACAAAGGAAAATACACTAGTCACAGAGAAGTTTTTACCCTTTACTATTTTAGGGGCGCTGCCAAGTGAAGTGCTGAGTACGCAGCTCTCATGGGAGCCAGCTGGGCTCAGGAAACAGAATACCATCACCCAATTTGTCCCTTCTAATATCAGTAATATTCTTCTTCATTATCAGCCAAGATAAATCAATACCTGGCTTCATGCAAACACATATTCACATGCTTCAGCATGACCTTCAGCTTCTCAGGCTGCCCCGGCGCTTCTCAGTTCAGAAGTGGCAGGTAATAAGAGCGCCGAACCATTCCATTCTGTTGTACTAATAATCTCATTCTTTCCTGAGGTCATCTTAATCCCAACTATAGCTCAGTATGTACACACCAAAAAATCCACAAGTTCTTGGGGGGCTACAATTGCTTGCAGGGTCAACACATCCCCAGCGAGTTCCCACTCTTTTTGTTAAACAGGAAGGGAGTGCAGGGGCTGCTAAGAAGCCAATGTCTAACCATGAGACAATCTGTGCCGTGATTTCCATGTGCTGCCTGGTTACCATCCAACATGCCCAGAAATCCTGGTGTCAGGCAGCAGGACCATTTGATGGTCAACTTGAGGAACTTTCTACCAGCTGCCTTACAGGAAGGCTGAAAGCCCTTTACAGAGCAGCTGGGTTGAGCCACACTTCAGGCAGCAGCATCTTCCTGGGGTTTGGTATAAAGGTGTAACATAAAAAAACACATGTAATAATAAGAAGTTATTCTCCATCTCTGGAAAAGCTCTTGGCATGTTTTTCAGTGGGCTAGTGATCTGATGCGCAGGAACCAACTCCTTCCCTGAAGTGAACAGAAAGGTTCTTCTGGTGTGGACAGAAGATACTGGATGAGGGAATTAGGCTGAAAAATCTGAGTAAGGTCAAAAGAAAGGAAGGACATCGTGTTCTTAAGGTTCTACGTAGGCAAACCAATGTTGTGACACAGTGACACTTGCTCATTCTCAGTTAGTGCTGAGCTAATTAACAAAACTGGTTTATGCACTGCAGTGAGTAGTATCTCCCTTCTTTCTTGGATAATCCCCAGTGTGATGTAAGGGTGAATGAGTATCTAATTGGTTCTTAATTGAATGCGCATTTTGTACATTTTTCACCAGTTCAAGATTAATGCTTTTGGTCCAAAAATCAAAGTCAGTGAAATCAAGTTGAACTGGGATTTGGGCAGCTATTGTATTAATGGATTACTTTTGGAAAGGAGCCTAATTACAAGCCAGTCCGAAGATTTCAGTTGTGTTTGTCACAGAAATACTTAACGTATTGTCTGATAAAAGACTGATGTATATATTGATAGTGTTCTTATTCATGTTTATGCTTTAGTCTTGTTTAAGAGCAATTTTTCTACCATGCTAAATTAATAGCACTGCTTCGTACTACATGTGGTAAAGAAACACACTATCCAGGCTAAAGGTTTATGTAGATATGAAAACACCTGCTTCTCTTACTCTTCTGAAAAGTTTTAGGAAATGTAATATTTGAGCTACAATGGTACAAATGGGCATGGGTATTATAACCGGAGAATTGCCTAGATACCTTGCTTGTTTATAGATTTTACTCGAGAGCTATTATCATAATACCCATGGTTTCAAAAAAAAAAATAGCAAAGTCAATCAAAATTCAGAAATAATCCTCAGAATGTAAAAAAACATCACGTTTCCAAGAATATTTATTCCTAATTCTTTCATATAATAATTCTATGTAATTAGATTCCTCACATAGAATAAATGTTCTTGTACAAAACTGGGATAAATGCAATACTGTAACTTTATCTCAGAAACAAGGAGCAGCAGCAGGAGCAAAGATAGGGCCAAGCTGGTAGGTCTCTGATGATGGTGTGCGGCTCCCAACCACGGGTGTTTGACCTCCTGTCTTGTAGCCAAGCACTCAAGTGCAAGTACATTCTCAAGTACTCTGAAGTAGCAGCAGAGTGTTGGGCACTGTACACAAGCTCATAAAAACAGGAGAACAATAGTCGGTTTTGTTGATAACATGAAGTTGAGTTTCTTTCAAAGACTGAAACTTAACAATTAAACCAACCACCTTCTAAGCACAAAGCCTAAGCTCATGAAAACAAACTACGACCGATGGAAAACCACTTGCTGACAAGCAGCATAAATACACCTATTTGATCAAACATAGGAAATTGATGTTTGTATTTCTATAGAACTAGTGTTGATAATCTTTGTGTTGTTTTTTTAAACCAGGAAAATGAGAAGAATGGCCAGAGTAGCCGAGTGATGCATGGCTGCTGAAAGCTCACTCAACTCTGGATCTACAAAACAGGAAAGCATAAAATCCCGGAGTGTTGAAACTTGTTTGTGAACTTCAGGAACTACAAAGGCTACTAGTAAACTGAGAGTAAAGACACATATTGATTGGTAGCTTAAACCTCCATTCAAATGCAAAGCTCACTGTGAAACTAATGCTGTGCCCAGTTCTGGTTGTCCGCTCAGACCTCTCAATATCACGCAGACAGTCTCCGCACTATCAGGCATGCAGGCTCTGTTCCTCCCACCCTAAATTACTCCTTCCTGTTCCTCAGGCCTAGCACAACCTTGGTGCTTTAATCATATCATTTATCTTTTTTTCCTCTAATCTTGAATGTACAACTAGGAAAATGGTAATTATATAAAGAAAGGGTTTTAATCCCAAGTAGTTTCTGCTATCATCATTTACAGGACATTGGATAAACTTGCAGTTACTTACAATCTGAGGTCTACCAAAGATATGTGCGTATGTATGAAAGTGTACATGCATGTGTGTGTATAAAAACTGATGCTTTTTCAGGAGTTTCTGAATCAGTAAAAAAAAAATGTTTAGGAAAACTGGAGTAATGTAGATAGTTAGATGGAATAGGTATAAGCCATCACCACACTTGCAAATTCTCTATTTACAGATACAAAATGAACTAAATTGTGTCTGGGATGTGCACTTTTGAGACAACACACTGGAGATCAAATTCTTTATTAATGATGCTCAATGAAAAGTAAAGTTTATCACTTTCAAAATAAAATATTCTTTCAATATTATTTTAGTAAGTTATTCTTTTAGAACTAGGTCTTACTGCCTTTTATTATAAGAATCTCATTGATTTCAATGACTTCTGCACCAGGCACTTATTTGACCTCTTTTTAGTAAATGGGATCGATGTCATTTAACATTCCTATGCATGTCACCATGCTTATACACCCTGATTTATAAAGGGATGGAGATGTGTAAGCATGCCGAACTGATTTCAGTTTCACTACCAATGAAAGTTGCTGTTCACGTGTTTGAAATCAGACATCTGGCCCATTCCCAGATAAAGCTGTTCCACTGGTGTAACAGAGGAGAAAGGCATAGCTGTCAAATCAAGCAACAGGAATTAAAGAGGGGGTAGTAAATCCATTGAAAACCACAAACGATGCTGTCTTCAGTGAAGAACACGCTACTGGAAAAGTACTTATCTGTTAGGTAAGGTGGCAAGCCTGAAAATAAAACAGCCTGCTGGAATACTCACAGGTCACAGGTTTAAAAATAGTGTGGCAGGACTCAAGTTGCCAAAAAAAATAACCTTTAATGAAATGGAAGATTTGAGGTTTTTCTTACTTGATTTCTAGGAGTGACAGCACTTGTTGTCCCCATTGTTAAGCTTTGCTGCATAACAATAAGGAATAAAATATTTTTCCAAGATCACCTGAGATTATCAAGAAATGGTGTGTTGCCCATAGCAAGGGTTCTGAGTCAAGTATGAAGCATCAAAAAAAACCCAGTGTTAACACTGAGGAAGTCACAATGTTATCTTTTCTTTCTTTTCTTTCAGAAAGGGATCTGGGAGTCCTGGTGAACAAGCTGAACGTGAGCCAGTAACGCACTCAGGCAACAACTGCGGCCAACAGCCTCCTGGGCTGCACTGGGAGGAGTACTGCCAGCAGGTGGAAGGAGGTGATCCTTCACTTCTACTCAGCACTGCTGAAACATCTCAAGTATTGGGTTCTCCAATCCAAAAGAAACACGGACATACTGAAGTGAGTCCAGCAACGGGCCACAAAGATGATTAAGGGATTGAAGCACCCATCATAGGATAGGCTGAGAGAGCTGGGACTGTTTAGCCTCAAGAAGAGATTTTTTAAGAGAGACCTTAACAATGGGTATAAATATTTCATGAGAACAAGTCTACGAGATGGTGCCAGACTCTTCAGTGGTAGCCAGTGTAAGGAGAAGAGGCAATGGGTACAAACTGAAATACAGGAAATTTCATTTAAAACTGAGAAAAAATATTTTTCCCTGCAGATACAGGTTGCTCAAAGAGCTTGTGGAGTCTTCACCTTTCCAATGTGCAAAACCCAGATGGACATGGCCCTGAGCCAACCCACTGTAGTTAACACTGCTTTGAGCAGAGGATTGGACTAGATGTCCACAGGCACCTTCCAACCACAACTATTCTGTTATTCTATTGTTCTTCACTGTCTAAAACTGAACTAATTTTTTCCATGTCCGAAAGCAAACCTGTACTGAGCTTTCCCTCCAAATTCCTTAACATCTGACTGGTTCTGTCACTACTGGGTATCATTTAGAGGTTAGAGAAATGAGGAAAAAAAATGGCTTTAAGGAAACGTGTGTGAAAACTTTGACAACTGCAGGAGAGAAAGGATGTAAAGGCTGGTCTACAAGGGATGTATTTCAAAAACACCCGCCAAACAGAATTCAAAGACTCAAAGGATAGATGCATTTTTACCAGAAAAGCAGAGCCAAAAGAGGCCAATAGACAGAAACAAAACTATTCTAAAGTCCTTTGGCTTAAAGAGAGCAGTGAAGCTGCAAAGTTCTACCTGTCTTGCCCTCCTGAAGGCTCCATTCAGAGCTCAGCTAGACTTTGTTCTAGAACTGGAGGGAGGGTATTTTGAGATCTAGGCTTTCCTATGATAGAGGAACATTTGGAAAGAAAAAAAAAAATCAGTTCTTTCCCTGTGATTACACGGCATGATACATGTGTCACCTCTGCCTTCCATTCGCCAAACTACCACAAATAGCATCAAAGATCAACATATGCCATTTGGATCATAAATCACAAAGGGTTCGGTTCTGTCGGGGTTTGAATCAAGGCTGAGGAGCAGATGTTCTGCAGATCTGTGAGCATGGCATGCATAGAGCCCGCATCCTGATTCACTCAAAACCAATTAGACCTTCCAAGAAACCCCTTTCCACTCCTGTGGATCCAACACTTACAGAAACGTTTGTCTTCTTCTTTCCCAGTGATGAGGTCATGGAAAACCGATATTCCTCAAGGTTCTCAAAGTGGCTCTACCACGCTGGCTTGGAATAAAAGGAAATACTGAGAACTCTGCTGATGGGAACTCTAGCAGCCTTGGCGGAGGGGCATCATGTGGGAAAATCCACCTGTGTGTTTGCAATTGTAATATTCAAGACATCCCACACCTTTAAAATGAAAGGTAATCTCTCCTTTGAAAGGAAGAAATGCTCCCTCTTGGATCACTATGGAGAAGCGACCCTGCAAACTGTTGCCTCCCCATCAGCTGCTCAGTCCTCACAGCGACATTCAGCAGATGCCAGCAGTCCCAGCTCAAGGTCCATTACCTGCTCTTACCAATGAGGGAAGGTGTCTTTTCTGAGGATGTCTGAGGTCTGTGTGAGGAGCTACTGCTCCCCAACGCCGTCCTCCTGGAGAGAGCTGGGTGAGGAAATCACTACAAAGTAGGTAGGATTATTTTTTTCCCTTTTCTCCCTCTTTGCACAGAAGAAAGACGATCAAAGCCACATGATTTCTTTTCACACTTCATCTGACTAGTTCCCAGCTTCCCAGACACAAACGCAATAGCAAGGTTGTGTTGTGAACCCCTGAGCAGTTCAGTGCTATTTGGATTGATGCATCCCAAACTACAGAGAAGACCCGGCCAAACGAATTTCTGAAAAATAATTCAATCAGGTGTAGAGAGCCAAAAGCCATTTCTGTGGGCTGCACAATGAGAGGAGCCACAGTCCTTTCTCAGTGCTTGAAAGCCTATCATTAGCATAGCCCTGCAGTGAGGACTATCATTTTACATCAAAAATTCCATCATTTGGGAATTAAAACTGCAGATTATTTTGTGAAGCACAGCCAAGATAAATCTTATTATTTAAAACAAATCTTTATAAGCATTGGCAAATGTAATAGCATTTCAAACATGAGAGAAAAAGGGAAATTTTTACTTTCAATTCCAGCATTCTAAAGGAAACTCTTTCATCCTTAAAATTCAAACTCAGGGTGTGAAGTAATTTCACTGTTACAGACTTGAATTACCTGCACTGGCCTGAGGGCATTATTCACTCTCTGAGAAAAAATTGTACTTTAATATTGCTATGATTTTCCCAAGTAACGGTTATGCAAAAGCTGGGATGAATTTGAAACATCCATCTCAAGATTAAAGTGATGACATTTGGTGACTGCAGAGAACCATGTAATTGAGAACTGGGCTTAGGGATGTGCCCAAAATTAAATATGGGAATGAGAAAACAATATTAATAAAAAGACTAATGCTTTGCTTTCTTTGCTTAACACCTGAGATGTAGATATTAAATCGGGTTACAAAATATAAATAAACGCTTACCAAAAATGTTTTAGATGCATATTGAATGCTTACGCTACATGGAAAGACCACAAAATTGTTGGCCACCGTCCCAGCCCATTTAACAATCTCTGTCACACACAGGAGGAAAGATAATCTTCCCACTTGGTTTTAATGGATCCATTTCTGGAAGCACTGAATTATTAATCTCTTTCAGGGGTTATCTGCTGCCTGATTATTTATCAATTTCCTATGAAGGTGGTGGCTGGACCCAGAGCATGCTCTGAAGAGGCTTAACTCCACAACAGAGGCTGACGTGATCTAAGGAGTTCCACCATTGACCTAGACTGGGCAAAAATTTAACACACAAATAAATGTCCTCACCCAAAAGTCTCTATCAAAACCTTTCGGCAGCATGCTGCCAGGCGAAACTGCAGATGAACTGGTTCTCTTGTGAGCATATGGCTTTGAAGAAATGTGCAGATAGAAAAACTGATGCTTTTATATAATGGATTCTACTAGCAAAACAGGGTAATGGGGAGGACCGAGTGGTTTTCTTCTTTAAATAACATTTATTGTAGGATAGTAAATGAAAAATTTTACTACATTAAAAAGTAGTAGGACTTATTAAAGAAAGCAAGTGAACAGATTCATTCTCTTCTTGAAGATTTCCCAGATTAGCTGTCTTTCTTACTGTTTGTATCAAGGTGGGGCCACTTCATTACAAAATCAACCATAAATATGTCTTGACTCTCTAAGAATCTCATTACCAGGTTTTTCACTACAGTAAAACATTGATTAACTAAGTATAACGAGGTTTAGGAGTAACTGTTTGGCACTGAGGGAATTATCTTCTAACTGATAGAGGCTAAGGGAGCATGACATGGGAGGTTTTAATAACTGAAGTGGGGATAAGACAGGTTCACATATGTATTAGTCCTTATGCACAGAATCCAAAATAATCCTTAAATTCCTTCCTCTGTGAGCCAATGGAGGCTTAAAACATCACCAAGGACAAGAAGCAGCAGCTACTAAGGGAACAGCAACTGACATCATCTACCTGGACTTGTGCAAAGCATTTGACACTGTCCCACATGACATTCTTTACTCTAAATTGGAGACACATGTTTGACAGTTGGACCACACGGCAGATAAGGAACTGGCTGGATGGTCCCACTCAGAGTCGTGGCCGATGGCTCAATGTCCAAGTGGAGACCAGTGACAAGTGGCGTTCCACAGGGGTCGGTATTTGGACCAGTCGGTATTTGTGGGAGACATGGACAGTGGGATGGAGTGCACCCTCAGCAAGTTTGCCAATGACACCAAGCTGTGTGGTGTGGGGACACGCTGGAAGGAAGGGATGCCATCCAGAGGGACCTGGACAGGCTGGAGAGGTGGGCCCATGCAAACCTCATGGAGTTCAACAAGGGCAAGGTCCTGCACGTGGGTCGGGGCAATCCCAAGCACAAATACAGGCTGGGTGGAGAATGGATTGAGAGCAGCTCTGAGGAGAAGGACTTGGGGATGCTGGAAGATGAGAAGCTCAACATGAGCCACTTGCAGCCCAGAAATCCAATTGTATCCTGGGCTGCATCAAAAGAAGTGTGACCAGCAGCTCAAGAGAGGTGGGTCTCCCCCTCTACTCCCCTCTCATGAGACCTCACCTGGAGTGCTGCATCCAGGTCTGGGGTCCCCAACATACAAAGGACATAGACCCATTGAAGAGAGTCCAGAGGAGGGCCACAAAGATGATCAGAGGGCTGGAGCACCTCCCATACAAGGACAGGCTGAGAGAGTTGGGATTGTTTGGCCTGGAGAAGAGAAGGCTCTGGGGAGACCTTACAGTAGCCTTCCAGTACCTGAAGGGGGCTACAGGAGAGATGGTCAGGAAGTGTAGCGACAGGACAAGGGGTAACAGTTTTAAGCTGAAAGAGGGTAGGTTTGGATTCGACATGAGGAGGAAGTTTTTGACTGTGAGGGTGGTGAAGCAGTGGCCCAGGTTGCCCAGAGAAGCTGTGGATGCCCCATCCCTGGAGGGGTTCAAGGCCAGGCTGGATGAGGCTTTGGGCAACCTGGGCTAGTGGGAGGTGTCCCTGCCCATGGCAGGGCATTGGAACTGGATGATCTTTAAGGTCTCTTCCAACCCAAACCATTCTGTGATTCTACTTTGATCAATGAAATATGAAAAATTAGCCATGACAGCAGTTAATTAGGCTCCTCTTGTATCTGCACTGGTTTTGCCCAAGATTCAGTCTGGTTGGGATAGAACAGCAGAGAGAAGGGATGCAAACAAAAATGAAAGCCTCCTTTGAGAACTACTACCCTTTTTTTTAACAGATAAACTAGAAAGATTCACCAATGTCTGTTCTTCTAAAAACACAGTAAGAAATAAACCAGTGCACCTCAGTAAGCAGGGAAATCTGTCACATAAGCTGGGCACAATGTGCTGTGGCTCACTGCAGTAGGAGAGATGTAAAGCTGCAAGAAGTAAGTGTGATCTATCTGTGCATGATCCACTGCCTACTGAAATCAACACAAATACTTCAGTTCACTCAATTGCATATTAGATTCCAGCCACTAAAGTAAATAGTAACCAAACTACTCCAGCCACTAAAGAACCAAGAGTAACCCAACTATTATACCATGGGATAAAATAAAACAGTATGGTTTACAATTTGTTTACAATTGTGACAATATATCATAACATTACCTGAAATGAACTTAGTGTCTTTTCTCCTTTAGCTAACTCTCCTCTATGAAAACTATTTCAATGCTTTTCTTTTTCTGCTAAGCTTTTACTTACCTGAATAAAGATGTATTTTTGTTGTTCTTTCTCTTCTGCTACTGAAATGCAGCCCTGATGACTCTGTCGCTAAGTGGCTGAGTTGGTCTGAAGTTATCTCCTAGGATTCCATCACAGCCCTCCAAAAGTTCAGCACCTTTAACGTGTGTCCTCAGCCTACGAAATTCCTCTATCTGAAAGGCAAACAAACAGACATGAAGAAGCTGAGATATATTCTTCACCGTGGGACTAGTGATCAAAATCAGCCTTGCCCAGCCATTCTGCAGCTTTGAAACTTGGAGTGTTCAGGTCCCATATACTAAGGTCAATATACACCATTAATAACATTTTAAAATAGTTGTCAGCACTGTCAAAACATTTAACATATAGAGAAAAATAAGAACTTTTTATGCACATGGTTTGGCAAACTTATCCTTTGCCTTTTTTGTAAGCTGAAACAGGCTGGATTTAGATTGGATATTATGAAGAAAGACTTTACCATTAGGGTGGTGAGGGACTGGAACAAGTTGCCCAGAGAAGCTGTGGATGCCCCATCCCTGGAGGGGTTCAAGGCCAGGCTGGATGAGGCTTTGAGCAACCTGGGCTAGTGGAGGGTGTCCCTGCCCATGGCAGGAGGGGTGGAACTCGATGGTCTTTAAGGTCCTTTCCAACCCAAACCATCCTGTGATTCTCTGATTCCATGATTCTTTTGGGACCTACAACCTTTTTAGCCATTGTAGATTACATCTGATGAATCAGCCTCACAGTTGTGACATGAGAGCAATCTCTCAGCTCTTCTTCAAAGAGGTGCACTTCAGGAGTAACTTGATCGACTATAAATTGTTTTGAATTTCTTCCAGTGATCTATTTATTGCCTGAAATTGTTGCCTCATTTAACTAAAAAATATTTTATAACTCAGAAGAATTCTGAATAGAGTCTCAGCTTTAGAGGAAGCATGTTGACATTTCATATGGAAAAATACGGGTTTTCCAATAAAAAAATACCACTTCAAAAGTTCTGTAGATGTAGGTGCTAAGTGTACTTAGAAAACCAAATACAGTCAAGAATCAATATAAAACATTTAAATTGGACCAAAACAAATATGTTTCTGGTTTATACGCTGTTTATAGATTCTTCAAAATCTAATCTGGTAGAGGGAAGAATGTGAGCAGCTTCCATCTCCACCCCTGGTATCAGCGTCAAGTGTGTGATAAAAAACTAAGAAAATCACTGTCTATCTCAACAACTTTATACCTTATTGTTCAAGAGTGCTGTATTTAAGAGTCTGGTATTTTTAACAAGTAGTTACAACTGCTAAAAAAAAAGTGTTTGTTTTTGTGTTGGCATATTGACAAGCTAAGATATCTGTATTTCTCCATGAAGAACGCCCTATGAAGGATTACAGGGAGAATGGAAGTGTGATTCCAGAATTAAAAGAAACGAGCTACTAAACAGCAGGTAATGGCATTTTCATTCTTACATTGCCTGCAGAGAATACTGCCGTACTGCAAACTGGAAGCCAGCTGCATTCATTGTTGTTTTCCACTCTACAGCAGAACTGATACAGACTTATTTGCTTGATTTAGAGGCCAGCTCTTCTCTGTTGTATTTTCCTCAAAAAAACCAGTGTGCTTAGAAATCAACACTCGAGCTTCCTGCAGTTGAGATATAAGGCAACAGTTTAGACTCAAAAAGATGAAAAGGTGAACAAACTGTAAAGCTCCTTGAAGAGGAGAACCTTGAAGGTGCTTTTAGAGGCAGATTCCTATTTTGGAAGACTTTTTTTAGTGTTTATTTAAAGCAAACTGAAAACCTACTACAGGCTTGGAAATGAAAAAGCCTTCAGGAGTCAAGTGCTGGTAAATCACCGAATGGGTTGTGTAAAGCCAGCCTCTTTCACCACCTGAATCAGCTCCAGAAAGTCTGAGATATTTGCAGTTTAGGAAGGACCATTTTACAGGAACGTGGCTTTTGTTTGATCTTTTGAGAAGGAGACTTCAAACAAACGCAGCTGAAGGAGAGGGAAGAGCAGAGCGGACTCTCTGCAAAGCTGGCTTCTGAGAGCTGTCTCTAGCACTACAAATGCTCTGCCCCAGTCCCACGGTGAAATCTTTCTCCAGGAGGTACTCCTCACAAAGCAGCTCTCAGTTTCTTCAGTCAGAAAACTAGGACTGACCTCACACCTGCTCTTTAGTCTTCAGGGAAGTCAAGAATTGCAGCCCTGCTCTAAGATCACCAGCCTCCTCGTTTAGCCCTTTGTACCGTAGTTCAGCCCCCGGGACAGACCCTCGGTACACGTGGGGGTCTGCCTCACTCATGGGAAGTGGTGCTGTCAGAAAAGGACACTAGTGCTGCTGACACCGCTTTCCCAACAAATTTCCACGTGCCAAAGCAATACACGTGCCCCACTCATCCCGCTTCATCTCCTACGGAGCCATTTGCTCTCTCCTGCCAAGCCCGCACACGGCAGCGCTGTGAAGCACACCCCGTAGGTCTGCCGAGGAAAGAGACACTGCAGAGGCACGCAGCTCAGCAGCCTTGGATAACCATGCACTTTCAACAGGAACAGCCATTTATAAAAGGTTTCCTCATGCCCAGAAGACACTAAGGATGACCTAAGCCTGTTCACACTAAAATTCAAGATCAAATTCTAACCAGTGAATGGGGAAATCCACAATAACACTCTCATTTCTACTAAGTATTTAGTTTATATCCTGTAGAATTTGCAAGAATGTTTTTACCACTTCCCTGGATTAAGATCCTGAATACTGCTTTCTTCTGTTTCACTTAAATATTTGCTGAAGAACACACAAAACAAAGAATTTGCCCATTTTCTCTACATTTCTGCTATACAAGGAACAGGAGCATTATCCTTCTGCTTGAAATGTCACCTGCCTCCGTGACACCTTCCAAGAACACAGACCTGCTTCCCAGCGAACAGAACACCACAAACCTCTCAGAGTGCTTCACTTCACAGAGTACATCAGCTTTGCACAATTCTCATTCCAGTTATTATTTCTGTCCTACAAGAGGTCTCGATTTTGAAGAAGTTGATAACAAAAGGACTAGAGACCTCGCCATTCAATACCCAACCCGTTGACTCTGACAGTGATCCCAGCAGAACAACAGCTCCTCGTCACATCATTGCTTCAAATCCCTGCTCTGAGTGCCTTGGACAATGTTCTTGTTCTGGGCTTTGGTGAACCACAAAGCTCATTATTCACAAGTGTCTAATTTTTTAAAAAATTATAGCAGAGAGAAGCACGAGCAATTCTTTTCCAATTACTTCCTGCTCTTTACTGGCCTAAGAGGAGGGAGTTTTCTGTTTTCTGCAATTGCACTTTGCAGTGCACCGGCATGGGCGAGCTGTCTCCCAAAAGCAGCCAACACAGCTATTTTTGGGCTGTGCATTTCCACGTAAGACAAGTGAGGATGATAAAAAACACAAATGGAGAGCAGGAATATGCAAAAAGAGCACTGCAGGGTACAGCTTTCCCCAGCAGCTCCTTTCCACTGAGGTCAGTAAGGACACCCTGCAAAGCCCTTGCTCACCGGGGCAGAAGAATCACCTGCACAGTTTATCCAGACCTCACAGAACCACCTGTGAAGGAAACAACTCCCTGACTGAAGCGAAGCCTCACGTCAATGAAAACGACCTCCAGTGAGGAAACAGCGCTGGGCTCTCGATGCTGCAGTCACGGTTTGCTCTTTCACTGTTCATACAACCACCACACTCAGATCCCCACTGCGGTGAGGTGTGAAGCACATACAGAGAATAATCTCTTTTCATGTAACACTGACTTAGATCAGTAGCAAATCAACTCATCAGCTGGACTTTACCATCTATAAATGTCTTTGGGAGAAACAGAAAGAGGTTCTCTGCTTTGCAATGCTCAGCCTGTTGTGCCTGTGCCAAAATAGTTACTTCTCCATTGCTTCAAAATAAGCAAATGTGAAAATATATAGATGTAACCATGAACTAAAATTGCAATTCTATTCATTTTTTTTCCCCCTTATGACCCACAGTTTGTTCAGCTAATCAATATTGGTATGTTAATTACAAAAAATCAGAATGTGAATTAGTATCTTGGTTCCAATACAGTAACGAGCTTCATCAGAGGAAAGCAATAAAACCTATTCCATATCATCCTGTGTTGTTCTTCATTGTTACTTGCTATTGACCCTCAGAAGTTTATTACTTTATGGCCTGAAAAATGAAAATAGAAAGCCTTGAGTATATCCCTTACTGGCTGTAACCACAAATGCTGCTGGTATTTATAGAAATGGCTTCAAGTTTCATAAGCTGTGCTCAATAGTACCCCACAGAAGAAAGTTCTACAAGTTAATGACGCATGCAAAAATAAGGGGTTTAAATCCATTAGAAATGCATTTTCACTGATATCTACACTTTAATACTATAAGCAGGCTTGACAAAATTAAATGCTTTTACCAGCCTTCCATGGATGATTCAGAATGGTATATGCCATACTACATCCTCTCATTTTCCATAGACAAAAGCCCTTGCACTTCTAATCTCTCCTTTAACGGAATCTCTCACGAGCACTCATGCTAACATGCACAAAAGAGGCCAGATACTTAATTGCAGCCCAAATGCTAATTACAAGTTAAAATCCTGAATGCCCAGGCTATAGCAAAATATTCTGCCACACCTAAAAACTTATTTTTGGCATCCTGGAGAACGCTCAGTCCCTTTTGATTTTAGAATCCCAGAACCACTGTCTTACTTGTCCCCATATTCATTCTCCAGTGACATCTGAAAGCGGCATCTGATGCAAATAAAATTTTACCCCACCTCAGCAGAAGCCCTTTATGTTCTTAATAAGTCTTTTCTGCACCATAATGCCGATGCATTCATAACTAGTAGTGAGGATTTTTTTTTTTCTAATCGATGCTGATCCATGACAAGTGCAAAGTATTGTGGATCATCTCGTCATTAATCCACTCCAATCCCTCACTCTGCTCCAGCACTACATCTCACCTGTGTGATATGTCAGTGGCAGGGAAAAGCACCATCGCCCAAGCCCCTCCTGGACTTGAGAGCCCTTCATCACTACAATGTTCTTGTTGGATTGGGTTTATACCAACAACAGTAATGCAGGAACACAAAGCAGCTACCCCTCAGCCCCCTGCCATCTTCCACCACACATGGATGGCTTGAACTGCACCCTCCTCTGTGCATTGACTGTATTAAATGGGAACAGACAAAACAAAATCTGCAACCAGCATGAAATAGAATATCATACAACATCTCAAGTGTTACAGCTATGGTCTTTATCCTTCTGATTAAAACCTCTGATTTATCCATGTAATATCTGGACAATTATCTGCAAAGTTACAAAATGCACTGTGTCTTTAAAAGTTCTTCTGAATATAATAATGCCAACAGAGTTCTGTTTCCATTTATTCAGTAGTAAGCAGCTGTTAGGACTTATCCTTTCATAAGCAAATAAATAACATATTCATGATGGGATACATTTAAGTTGCAGCTACCATATAAATTAGCTTATTGGGAGTTACTGCTTTTATCCTAGGATTAGAACCAGAGTTCAGTTTCATATGAAAAGAAACACTGTCGATTTCAAATTGTTAAAATATTCTGCTGGGATTCCTAAAAAAATTTGGATTACTAAAGCTGAAATAACTTAAATGGGAATTTGTTGCCTTTTATACTTCTTTCCCTTCTGTTTGCACATCCTTCAGAGCAGTCAATGAAAATTAACACATTCCGTTTCAGGGATTCTAGATAGTTTCACTTAAATTACACCCACATTTCTCCACCTAGGGTTCACGGACTGCAGGAGAACATTCATCAGGAGTTTCCATTGTTTTTACTGGGATTATTTGTAGGCAGGTTTGAATTGTTTCTATAAAAAGGCTCACATGACTGTTAGATATTAATTTTAAAAAAAAATCTTTCAAATACACATGTGTAAAACCAAATTTAAATAGGTAGTTTTCATTTGACATTTATTACAAAACAGAATTTTAAAAAGAGTAAGATAAGTTAAACACAGTTCAATGCAGTACAGCTAGCCCATGCTATGTTAACATTTTTCATTCTCCAGGACACAGCATCTCCCTGTGCCTTTTTTGTTCCTTTAACATCAAGAAGCAGTGATATTTGAAAGCTTACATTACAAAGACTTGAATTTCTTTTTGCCTATTGACTTCTTTCTTTCTTTTTCTTTCACTTAAATAAAGAATTATTTTAAATGCAGATGATAACTGATAACAGGGGTTTTCATCTCTGACCTTTGCGTTGCTTCCAGTGACTCAAAAGGCTTAACCTTTCCTTGAAAAGCCATGCACTGATCTAATGGGATCTTCAAGGAGAACAGATATCCTGTCCTGACACATATATTTGCACGCTATAACCTTTAGCTCATACCCGTGCTCCAGGGCCACAGCTGTTACCTGCACTTGGGACACAGTCAAGGGATAGCGAAACAATATCCAGGTGACACCTTCACTGCAGGGCGGAACGGTCAGAGAGCCTTCATACACCCAGTAGTCACGCAGAAGAGGATCTGAAATTAAAAGAAAGGTGGAATTTTAATGACACAAAGGAAGATAACTGCGTGTTTCAGTTACGACAGCTTATGACAGCCATGGCCCTGCTGATCGGGTGAGGTCAGTGTGCAGTGAGCTAAGGTGTGAATCTATAACCTGCCTCCTGTCCTCGCGGGAAGGTCCGTGAGCTTGTGGTCATTCTACTGCAGTAACTTCTCCTTGCAGGTGAGTATTTTAAAGACGAAAATGACACTTTATACATGTGCACAACTCCTTAAACTAACACAGCAAATAAATAATATGTTGGGAAAGAGCTGCTGTTAGTGTCAAAAGCCACAAGAGACACCCCACGTGGAAGGCAGAGGGGCTGCAGTGATTAAATTCTGGTGACGTATCTCTTGAGATGCACTAGTGCCTTCTAGTTTTGGAAAAGTAAGTTGAATTTCACAGGGTAGAAAAACAAAGATTATTTTAAAATAAATTCATTTTAATAAATCTCTATATTTATTAATAGGTTTATAAATCACTGATAGAATGAACAGTTGTCTCTCAAGGAAACGTACAACAGTTTGTCCAAGCAGAGTTTTAACTCTACATACAACAGGTTTGATTTTAATTATTTTTATGTTAATTCCTCAATCATTCCAGTCACACCGTACTTTGTGACCATTCAGGGCTGCCCTTTGCTGCTGCAGGCCAGACTCACAAACGGCTCCCTGACACCGCTCAAGAAGCACAGAGAGGAAAGTGCCTGACCGTAAAAGAGGGGGCAACAAAAAAAGGAGAGGGGAACCGGAGACAAAGGGTGCTTAATCATGGCACGGAGACCTAGGGGGAAGGTTGTGACTAGCTTGACAAGGACAGAATGGGGGACTGGAAAAGAATAAACTTGCCTGGTTGACCTCATCGACCTGTTATTGCTATTTCACCCCTAGCTCAGAGAAATACCAGTACAATTAAGTCTTGCTAATGAAGCCCGTGATTGTCAGTGGATGGATTTCGTTCTGTTGGTGTTATTTTCTTTCTCCATTAGGGAATTACATAGCAAACCCATTGAAAGCAAGTTGCATTATCAAACACTCAGAAGTTAAGAAGAGCAAGAATTAATTCAGCCCATCCTGTGCTTTCACTGTGACACCATCTTGTTACATGATCACATATGTTTTTTTCTGGAGAACCTTCAATCATTTACTTGCAAAGATGAATAATCTTCTTTTGAAAAGCATCTATAACACTCGGCTTTCTCAGTACAATATGCACCTGTTAGTAGGACCACATTTTCTCATTTCTAATGCACTCATTTCTTCAGTGTCTGAGTGCTTCACAAACATGAATTAATTTGTCCTTCCAACACCCCAGTGTGGCGAGGAAGGGCAGATTACCCCCACGTTTTAGAGCTGGGGAACTGAGGCACAGAGAAGTTAAGGTCAAATGCATCTATTCATTTGAGGTGTTCAATACGAGATGCTTAGAACCTGATTTCTCAGAGTAGTTAACTTTCTATAGCACTTAATGCAGTCAGAGCACTGCTCCCATTGACTTCAGCTGGAGGTGTAAGCACTCAGCACTTCTGCAAATCAGACCCCATGAGCTCAAGTCGGGCACCTAGAAAATGAGGAACACATAGTTAGAGATGACTTAGGAAAATTTTGGTTTATGTGACTTGATCAGCATCAAACAGGAACTGTGAGGCATGGGTCCTGTAAGAAATAACTTAGGGTCACACAATGAAAAGATGTTTTATAATGCGTATGCATGGCACAGGCAGCCTTAATTCCTGCAATTCCCAATTGCTGAGCACTTGACTTTGCAACCTAAAAAATATTCTTTTGATATAATTAATATAGTATAACATAGACCTGGATTACTTTGGAAAATTAAAGATCTTGCCACTATGACTTGGAACATAGCTCAGAAGTATTCTTGCAGAAACATTTGCCTTGTAGAAATGTATTTTTTTTTAAGTCACATTTTTTTTCAACACAAGGTAGAGGAAGTGGTTGCTTCTTACTGTTATTCTTTAACTTTTATCTATACGAAATTGAATAGGACTCCTATTGTCACTACTCCTTGTATGCTGTACAACTGTCATTGCATGATGGCATTGTCTTTTGATGCTGCCAAAAAGCTGCCTTGGGAAGTAGGTAACCCTATGCCTTCTTGAGTGGAAACAGGCCTCTGATTAAGGAATGCCAGCATCCTATTTTATGCTGAAGTAGAGAAAGGA